AAAAATTTGAAATTGAAGCATTATTTCGACTAGTTATGCTGTACACAGACACAAAAAAAAAACACATATCATTGTAAAATCAATACATTCATCACTCCGTTCAGAATCTAAAACTTAGAAAAATCAAAAATTTCAATTGTCTCTAAATATTAAATAGCTCAAAATATCTTGAAAATTGAACCATAAATAGACAACGCTAATATAAACATTTGATACAAATTTCAAGTATTTACAATGATTCATTTTTCAATTTTTGAGTTGAAACAAAATAAAAAAATCAATTTTGTTGAAAACTGGATTATGCTTAAAAATTCCCGTTTCTTACTTTATTTTATGGTTTTTCCAGACGCTTTTTAAAACTATTGGAAATTTTTTACTTTTGTCCCCCCAGGTCAACTATATGAATTTTCCTTTTTAAAGAGGGGCTGAAGTAAAAAAAACATACATCATTATTGTAAAATCAATACATTCCTCACTTAATTAGAATCTAAAAATATTAATTAATAGTTTAATTAACCAACGCATTCAACTCGATGTTTTTTTTTTCTACTAGAAAAATGTATGAACAATAGGTAATCGTGTTTTTGTTAATGAGCAACCACGATAACGAAAACCTTATAGAAAGTCAACTAGAAACAATAATAAGTTAATAAATCATGTATTCAGCCTATAGAAACATATTTATGTTAATAGAGATGGAATTGTTTATAAATTTTATCTCATATTKATAATGGTAATATAAACATTTATCGTATCTTCTATAGTTATTTGTGTTTGAGTTACTACAAAAAAACAAAAATGTTTTTATTGAATAATGGTTATGTTTAAACATGTCCTTATTTCTTTAATTATTTTAATTTTTTCCAGTACATTTAAAAACTACTGGACTTTTCAATTTGACCTCTCAAAATCATCAACTAGATCTTTCCATCAGAAAGATTCTGAAGTTAAAAATTGCACCTAGCAGCTAGCACTTAAGTATTTTGCACTATTGAGAGTACAACCCACAACTAGTTTAACGGATGACGGTGGCTTCAGCTTTTGCTTGATCGTCGAACACTTGTACACTTAAGTCATATATTATGGATAGAGCTGTTGCATTATAAACACGTGATACGTTTTGAAGACATCACTATTGACGTGTCACAAAGCGGCTGATTTCTATTGGATATAAATGTCATTACTCGTCGCACATATACCATAAATATCACTTAAACAACTGTGATAAAATTTGAGGCTGTAATTCATTCACGCACATGAATGATTGATATAAATTGCGTTGATGCGCATTTTCTCCAATTCCCCTTTGTTATGTCGGCTTCAAATATCAAATATTTAGGCAGAAGCTCTATCCTATGTAGGTATATGATCAAGGCTTGTACCATAACGAATTTAAAGACTATTTTAATTAGAATATACTATATTGTAATAAATAAAAAACATTGTTTCTGTCCTCAAACATTGTTGATAATTTTAAACCCATCCCACACCTACATCGTTTAAATATTAGAATAAAACATTAATTGTTCGTTATTATACTTGAWATACGCAAAATTATGAGAAATTAAAGATAGATTATAATATATATTGTGTATCGATATGAGCTGATAATTCTTGGATATTGTTGATTAAATTATTTGTAAAAGTACCCTGTGAAAAATCATACCAAAGCTTACAAATCATATAACCTTACAGTATCAATTGATGAGTAATTTTGATTTTATAATTTTATAAGATATTTTGTTTTTAGACTCTAAGCGAAAGACTCCTGCTTTTTGTGTCTATTATCGAGTTTTGATGCAGGGCATGCAGCACCAATATGTCAGGTTAGGTACTACACTAACTATGGGTTTATCCCTCACTATTCGTAAACGCAGTTCTGTGCCATTCTTCAAATATCGTTTTCCTATAATTTTTAATTATTATATCAGTGAAACTATGCTAAAACGTGCAGAAAACCGGATTAGAGTGACTTTGTCATAATTTTTTATAATACATTTTTACATTCCATTCGAATATAGAAGTATTGCGTTGCAGTAAGGCACTCAAACTTTTTTGTCGTGTTACTCTGTTATAGATGAGTTGGTGCTCATTAGTAAATATCAGCACGTATAATGCTGTTTCGTATATCCTTGTAATGTGTAATAAAGGCGAGTTTATATGAATTTCAATATAATATTTTGTAGTGGGAAAATCACAAACAATTTATTATTAATAATAGTTTTCTAGCAGATYGTGAACTGCATAAATGCACGTATTTTTTCAGAAATTTATGTAAATTKAAATTAGACCACTTGCAGTATGATTACTATCATTTTATTTTAATATATCTTCTTGCTAGCTGATAAAATAGTTAAAGTCAACTTGGATTTCTTTTAATCAAGTAACCATGGGGTAAAATAGATGCACCACTCTCTACTTGACTGTATATTAAATTTAAACTTTTAAAGTTCCTTCTTGTTCTTCGTGTAAGATTTATCATTTCTTTGTACCTGTATCGCCCTCTAATTATGATACTAGTCAGTACTTACTCCCTGATAATRACTAAGAATGATTTGGATTGATAATGTAGAATCATAAAAAAATTATGTTAAGCACCATCAAATGTATATTATTATTAAATTTTAAAACTATGTGGTACAGATCAGTTCAATGTGAATGAAAACTATTTAATTTGTTGTATTATGTTATAGTGTCGCACTAATTTATTATATGCTAATAGCCCATGTCATGTATGACATGAGTTGCTTGATAAAAGGAGTAACACAGCAGCTACACTTTAAAATTGTCTACATTCAGTGAATTATATCTAAATATTTACTATTTAGTTTATTTAGACATTTACACATAAATTATACCTAATTTACTTGTTTTCTATATTTTATAGCTTATGTATAATTTATGAAATATATTTGTAATTCATTATATTTTTATAATATTGATACTATTTATGTAGGAAAATTTTGAACTATCATAATAACTATAATAATATACACAAATATTTTACAGATATATCATACTATATAATATATCTTACATAAAATGAAATGTTTGATTTTAATAAGTTTGGTATCCTGATTCCTGGTGATAATTACGTATTTGGGTAGACGTATTTTATTTTATGATTATTTTATAATAATAGATTATCTAATTTTATATTTTAATGAATTATTATTTATCAACTATAACATAAATAAACAATAACATATTAATAATTAACTATTATTATATATTAATTGAATTTAATGATTAATATTAAAACGTTGGATAAAATTAAATGCAAATAATTTTTTTTTTAATTTGATAGTGAAAAAGATTTTAATATTAATAACTTTTAGAAGAGCGTCTAGGACCAAAATATTACTGTAGTTTCTATGTTATTTCGTTCCTAAAAAATTGGTATAAAGTAATGACATGATTCTTAAATTACTCTTAGATTTAGACGATGATTATTAAAAAATATATAATTATTTCTATGACATTTTGACTTGCTACATTAAAATACAAACGTCTTTGACATTTTCGTGTTTTTTTCAACATAATATTTCATCCAATCAATAATATACTTTATATTATTTTAATCATTATATTTATCAAATAATTAATTTTGGTATATTAATTGATCTTATGCATACGATTTTYATCGCCACATATCTATATAGGCTTTGCTCAAAAAGTTCTCTTATTTCGTTTTCTCGTTTAGTTCCCTTAAGTTTTTTGTATGATTAAATAAAATTAATTCTTAAACTCAGTCTTGGAGGGATGGAGAATTCTTTAATAGCCTGGCATATCTCATCATGTATATTATTATTGATGTAATTGTTTATCATATTATCTCATGTTTACTTATTGTATGGACAATAATGCAGCTGTAAGGTTTTATCGTAAATAAAAAAAACTGCAAAAGCATTATAATTTTTTTTTATTATTTCATATATAATACATAATAACACAATACTTTATTACAATGTTGTTATTTTTGAGCTTGTGCAATTATAACTTGTTGTAATACAAGTAGATTATACACATTAAATATGTTTAATATAAATTTAATATTATTTTATAGATTTTAAAATCATTAAGAACAGAAACAATGCTCAATGAACTGCATTAGGTATTTTTACTATATTCACAATGTACGTATCAAAAATAACAATAACAATTTATTAAAATATGCCGTACTTTGTACTGCAAAAATCAATAATTTATTTTAAAGTATATACCTACGTGTAGATATTTTCAACCCTACAGAACACATGTTAAAGTGTTAATCATGAGTATAGTTTACACCAGCGTTTCTCAACCAGGGGGTCGCGACCCCCAGGGGGTCGCGTAGGTCAAAAATAATAAAAAGCTGATTTACAAAATATACCTTTTTATTTAAATATTTAAGACTTTTTATTGTAAAAAAAATTAAAATAATAATAATAATAATAAAATTATCCCGATAAGAATATACATAAAAAATTAATAAACATAATAAAATAAGTAATTAGTGTGATCTTTGAATTTGCTTTACACTTAAAAGTTGCTTAATTTGTGGTTAGGTAGCTGTAATGTTTTATCAGCTGATAATTCTATTAGTTGGTTATGAGTTTCAACTGGTAATTTGGCAACTGCAACAATATTTTCATCAAATGGATTAAGAACCCATCTATTTGATAAGTTAGGTTTGGAAATTTGGAAATTCTTAACGACCCGATACATAACGTTCAAAGCTTGAAGTTTGATAAGCTTAAGTTATTAGATATGGTACCTACCTATTTATAAATTGATATTTAAAATGTTTTATTTCGTTTGGTTAATGATAGGATATTTTCACTGTTCAAATGTTTACCTAATATAGATGGAGGGGGGTCGTGAAGTGATTGACCATATTTTATACCTATTTTGGGGGTCGCAACACTGAAAAGGTTGAGAAACGATGGTTTACACTATGATAAAATAATATGGTATGATGACGTGTTACCAAATTTTGACAGATTGCGCACACGAATTGCGCTTTATTTGAATGGTTGATAAATTTCCGTCAACATGTATTACTCTTACATAGTTAATCATCATATTATATAGTAATTCAATAATAATTCTTCAAAATGTATGCAATTTAACCTACCTAAACAAAAACAATATTACACGAAACGCAATAACAATGCAATAAACAAAAATTAAATATTAATAATAATGTAATAAAATTGCTGATAACGTAACTGAACGGCGCCTACGTGACACGATAAATGTCATCATACCATGTTATTTTACTATGGTTAATACTATGTAACGTGAAATAATGTAAAAAAAAAAATCAGTTTATTTTGAATCACGTTATAAGTTCTAACATAATTTAAACTGTTATATTTGAAAACTTCTCCAACCTAACCTAAGTTGATAATATAAAAAACTTATAAAATAATTGATAATAATTAAAGCTAAATGTAAAATTAATTTAAATTTAATCAAAGATATCGCTCAAATGTATGAACTTTTTTTAAATAGGATTACTAAAATAGTAAATTAAGTTTTACTTGGTCAAATAAAATTTATGATAAATTCTTCAAATATTTGGTTTTTCTTTCCATTGGTTTATGTACCCAGTACCAATTTATGTAAAATCAAAGAGAAAAAGAATTGTTGATTTTACCKTTAAAATGTCAACATTAATTATCTTTGATATAATTTAGTATCACACTGCGATGAATACCGTTTGTGATTCCACACTTGGATGTGAGTTCGTCATCCGTTATGTACCTAAGACATAATACCATGCACTGTGAATCAATTTAATAAAATTTAAAAGAAAGTAATTATTATTTTAATCAAAAGACAAAATCTACATGAATCGATATTGATGAATATAATCATATAAATCGATAGTACATTTTTAAAATAAAATTATRTTTTTGGAAAACAATAATAACTAAAAAAATCTAACCTGATCGATTCACTGTCAAAYCCAGCATTCAACATACAATACGTATAAACAGAGAACTCTGGCCCAATCGATTGTAAAAACGAGTTTAAATTGGTCGGATCTATACATCTATAATCGGTCAACTGTTTTAACTTGTGTAATTCCCTCATAAATCTAGAATTAATAAAGRCAAAATATAAGAAGGTACATTTTAGTGATAATAAATATTGACTATTCTACAAATATTTCTAATGTCACATTATTTATTAATAAAAATAAAATATAATATTTTAATTGTTTGAGTGTACTCAATATTTTTTTGCGTTACGCGGACTTATTATTCYGGGTATAGACAATAGACATATGTCATGTATATTATTAATATATATTGCACCTATATTATACGTACCCAGTAATATTAGCTATCAAAAATGTCTCTAAAATCGATTGAATTTCAAAACACAGAATTTAACCCCAAATCACATCAAACATTCACATTTTTATGCAGTTCGTTTATTTCGTAAGAAATTAAAAAAAAGAGTGGTAATAAGCGTTATTATCGCGACAGTATGATGTTAATAAAACCAATAATTTATCAACCTTAGTCGCATAATTCCATTCTGTATCCCAACATGTTCTTGGAGGCGTTTTTCGTTCAACATCAACAGCCGATTGCCGTCCACACAGCCAATCCGATCGTCCACCAAGCGTTCGGCCAACTCTTCGAAACCAGTACTTTTGGCCCACTGGAGGACGTCTTCGGCCATCCACAGCGGTACTTTCTGGCTGAGCGGCCGCGGCACTTGTTCGCCGATACCCCGCAACGCTTGTGCCGCTAACCCGGAAGCGACGTCGTTGAGGGAACCGGCCAACTTTTTCAACGGTTCAACGGCGCCGATCGTCCTGAAAGTTCCGGTGATCTCGCCGTGGCGGAGCTGACACGCGGGGTCGGCTTCCGCGCAAAAATGAAAGGCGGCCAAAGTGTGCGCCGCGCAACGGTCGCAGCTCAAGACCGGGACGAGCCACTGCAGCCAACGCCGCCTCTGACCCAACACTTGACCGACCTGTGCGTCRATTCTGACGAGATCCGCCGGGACGTGCGTGGCGAGGAAGCGGTCGATCAGATCCATCGTGTCGCACTTGACCATGGCCGCCTCGATGGTTTTGTCGGCCGCCAATACGGCCGTGGCCAGTAGGGCGTAATATTCGACGATCTCGTCCACGTTGAACGCCAACGTAAACAGCCAGGCGTGCGCGTGACGAAGGACCATCAGATGGTGAATCTCGGTGCCGCCGTACAGCGATAAGTTTGCGAGTGCGCGTGCGCAATTTCGCAGAGTCACGGTATCCCGACTTTGGCATTCCGCCAAAAGTACGTCTAAACCCTGAAGTCGAATTACACGCATACACGTGCCCTCGCTGTGTCCGAATAATTTTGCGAGTAAACCTGTAAGGTATGACGTATAACGGTTTAAACGTTAATCAGCAAAATCGTGTTATATTAACTTGTGTTATTAAAATGATCAAAGAAAATATAGGTAGTAATTATCTGAATAATATATACTTTTGTACACGTATAAATTAAAGACATTACAGTTTATCCGCAACGCCATATTTAGTATTGTTTTTGACGAGAGCGATTTGATTTTGATTTTTTAAATTTTTTACTGAAATTTACAATTTGAATTTAATTTAATGTAAATAATAATTGTAACTATAATGAGCTGTATTCTGACTTCGATATTGATATTTTATCAATTTTTTTATTACTTTTAAATTTCATCGCTGTTCACGTGTTTTCGATAAAGAAATTCAAAATGGATAATAGATATATAATATATATATACAGGTGTACCGCGCGAAGATTTACCCATTGCGATATCTCACGAAATAATGGAGATATCAAAATTCTAATTTTATAATAAGATTCACAAGGATAAGAACTACAATTATTTCATTTTAAAATTTATTTTAATGGTTTTGTAAAAWATTWAAAAAATATATATTTTTATTTAATTATTTCCAAAAAAATTAAAGATGACCATTTTGTAGTGTTTATTTTTCTGAAAATATTGACGTTTCAAAATTTTATTTCTATTAATTTCCTGATTTTTTATATTTTTCTAGTTTTGATGAAATAAAATATGATTATAAATTTACAACTATTAGGAACACGAAGAGTATTCGGCCGGCCGTATGGGAATGCGCGCGGCGCGGCGTGTCACATGTTTGATAACATTATGGTGTTAAATAATTCGCAATTTTTACTAAAACTAAAAAAAAAAATCAGGAAATTAATGAAAATAAAATTTTGAAACGTCAATGTTTTCAGAAAAATAAACTTTACAAAATGGCTATCTTTAATTTTTTCGGAAATAATTAAATATAAAAAWATATTTTTTAACTTTTTCACCAAAACATTAAAATAAATTAAAATATGAAACAATTTGTAGTTCTTATCCCAGTGAGTTTTATTACCAAACCATAATTTCGATATCACTATTATTTCGAAATATATCGCAATGGGTAAATCCTCACGGGACACCCTGTATATATATAAATATGTTGGCATAAAATATTACCAGTGCTGACTTTTGATTGGACGACCGTACTCTGCTCTTGACGCCTAAACGCGTGCACCACGTGCATGACTTTAACCAGACCGTGTTGGACCACGTAATCTAGATTAGCTGAGTCTAGGCATTCCACCAATAGCCTGGCGCTGGAGTATTGGAGTCTCGGGTCATTGGAATCACAGTTGTTTATCAACAAATTCGTTCCACCACAGTCCCGGAACTTGTTGCGCAGCAAACTGTTGAGCTCGCGAATCGTCGTCGCGAGGCACATCAAGTTGTACAGTTTGTTGAGCAGGTTCGGTCCTTGAGCTTCGGCGAACTTGCCGGCAACCAGCCCTTTGACAGTGTTTTCCACGTACAGCGAATACTTGTTGACGGCGTTTTCTACATCTCTCGGATGCATGGAATTCCGTATCCGGTCCAGATCATCGAAATTGGTGTTTAACAGATAGTGTTCGGTCCTGATCGCCGCGTGTGTTTTTATCACTCGAGGTGGCGATTCACCACTGACGGGAAATGGATCGGTCTGTGTAAGCTAAGACCAACAACGTTTGTGCAAAGTTAGCAATAGTCGATCACTGAGACGGACATATCGTAATGAAACAAAAATTAAATATATCAGAAAATTACTTGATGAATAATGTTTCCGAATTCATCTCTGGACGACAGACCCGCACGATTTTCGTTTGCATTGAATGTAAAATTAAACTGCGGTTTAATACTCGGCGAGGAAATCATTTGTCTTTGCTGCAACGCACCTGGAGCCATTTTGGTCTTGGTTGGTGATAAATTCCTTCAAGCAATATTCAATTTAGGATATTATTCAAATGATTCAACAGTCCTAAATTGTAAAATACACTGCTAAAAATTAGATAACAACCGATCACTGTATTATAGGTTTATTATAACCTTATGAGCCATAAAGTTCTTTTAAAATGTAATTATAAAAATTCCAAATTGCTGCAATCGTATAAATCTTAATCACAATTACAAAAAAAACAATGAGCAATTGTACAATAACGAATGATCCGTACTGCGTATATAAACCAAAACACTATATTAAGTAATATATACTTATCTCGTGAATAGTTACTACTACCAAGTAAAAATAAAATAAAGAAATAATTTCGAATAGCCAAATCCGTATATTTCTCGGTACGTGATGTAACATTAACGACACAATCTATAATAATTCGAAGGTATATAATCATAAATTATGTATCACCATAATTGTTCTCTCGTCCATAAACCAACCATACGATAAGGTATTATACTTAAGCTRTTTCTATAACTCACTACACTATTTGAATATATCTATTTAAGAAAAAATAAAAAAAAAACTGAGAAAAAAAAACTCAAATAATCTTTATACAATTTATACCGTATGTAATTAAGCAGCACATAATAAACATAATTATCATTTTGATTTAGAGCAACAATAAGCCAAAATAGATTAATTCTAGAATAATTATATAAGTATATAAACGTCATAAACTGTTAAACAACTTTTATTTTCGATTTATAAACAAGGCATAGATAATCATAATGCTTGCAAATATTTTTTTCTATATTGACTTTATTCTACTCTGAATATAAATACATATTTCGACTGCATATAGATATGCAAACGCATGGTTAGTCTGTTTTTAGTATTTAATTTATATTCTAAGACTTTAAGTAGGTGTAATATATTTTAGTAAATATTTAGTACATACCTTTCTAGATCAAGCTATTAGATTTGTAGTTAATTTACAAATATATTGGTGTTTGATTAAGTGAGTTCACCAGTTTTCAAATGTCGTTTTTTTTGAGAAACATAATACAAAAAAAAGAAATCGACGACATGCATCGCACTGGCAGAAGAATGTGTGTACAATGTTTTCCATTAAACTCTATTTATATTGACAGCGAAATTGATAAATTTATATAGCAACATCCTCATATACAGCGATCGCCACGAACCTACCGGCCGGGAACTGGTGTTATCTGTCATAAGTTTAGCCGTAGTATGATGAATTTATACGTGCCCCCCTCCCCTATTATAGTGACGCCTCTCCTTCATTAAACACCTATGTACATAAGTCAAATAACAAAATGTGTTATCAAGATTTGATGTACAACTATTGAATTACCACGAATCACGTTCTTCTCCTCTGCATTTTCAAATGCATTCAAATCGACACTAGTAGAATGCAAATCTGAGCCCAGTTAATGACATTTTAAATTTTAAAATATAAGTATCAAGTACCGATTCGTGCATTAATTAACAAATATTGTTGATAAAATGGATGATAATATGTAACAGATCTGACTGGCAATAGGTGTCTACAATGATCCTAAATTGACTGGCATTAAGGCATTAAGCAGTGTCAAGAAGTAAGTAACGAAAATAAATACTTAATAATATATTGCAACAGTGCGGTGAGTAGGAATGAAAAATCATATAAGAGTTTAATATACATATAGTAGTAAGAATTAAAAAGTGGAGATCACACCGATGGGGGGAAGGGGAATTGACTCACCAGTTATTTCAATGTTTATAATAGTTTAGATTTATGTATAAAACGTTAGCCATAGATTATATTTTGAAGGATCAATTAATAAAATTTTTTATACATTATRTATAGTATAAATAGTATTTTAAAAATCAGCCACATGACTAAATCATATGACCACTACTGATATTATGTATATAAGTCACCTGCTACCTTTGTCTTTGTGATCATAATAATATTAATAGGTACATTAATGTGTAAATTGAAACGAACACAATAAATTCTTGATAATCGTTTTGAGAGCTACTAAATATAGATAGGTATTATGAATATAATTCGTTGGCTTACTCGTATGACTATTCATTTATACGRATGACTAATGTTTCTTTTACATATATTATTATTTATTAGTAAAAAATTTTTGTTTAATGATATGATTAATATACGTTTTTATGTGTAAATATAAGGAAGTAGGTAATTTTTTATAAATACCTGTATATGTTTTTTAACTGGATATATATATATATATATATGTCGCATCAATTTAGTGAAATCAATCATTTAATGAAGTGGACAACCACTTCATGAAAAGTATCCATTTAGTGAAAATGACTTTTTACTACACCATATGGATAATTTTTTAACCTTTTCATGAAGTGGATGAAATTCATTTTATCCACATTGTGTAAAATTACTATTATGCATGAGTATTTTTGGTATTGGGTAAATGTACGACTTACACTAGATAATTGTGTTTTAAATAAATATAAAAGTTGCTTGTTATAATTTGTAACTCRTACATTGTATAAACTAGTTCGTCAGTTGAACTGGTAATTTCAAGATAAGATATAAAATRACTGTACAGATATATAGCAATATTCAGATGTACAGATAGCATATGATCCCGTTGACTATTGTCTTCCAGTCTGTCTTATACCTACCTGCATTTGTTGACTTACTAAATATAGGATATAAAATATAAAAATAATTGAACATGAGAATAAAAAAATAAAACACGAATTTGGGTAACAGATCTGCCAAATATTGTATCTTTAGTTGTTGAAAAAAAAATAAACTGTATAAGCTAGGAACTAAACCTGGAATGAATAAAGGATGGTATGGAGGAGATTGCTTAAAAAAATGTGAGACATTTTTAAAGAGTGACGAGATTGTGTTAGACAAAGAGCTAACTGTTCGATAAACTGTGACAGTCATAACAGGAGGACAAGGTTTTTCTTCTTGTTCATGTAAATCGAAAAGCCCATGTCAAACATCAAGATGTGCCTGTTTTTTAAAAAAAAAATGTTGTGCTATAGTCCTTGTCATAACTCTCAACCTTGTATAAATAAATAATAAAATATAAAAATAAAGTTTAAGAAAATATATAATTTTAATTATAGTTAGGTATAATTAATTATTTTTAATTTTCATATTTCTTTATATTTAAATGCTATATTAATATATTATATTATACCATATTATCATACATATTAATAGTAATTTTACACAATGTGGATAAAATTAATTTCATCCACTTCATGAAAAGGTTAAAAAATTATCCATATAGTTTAGTTAAAAGTCATTTTCACTAAATGGATATATTTCATGAAGTGGATGTCCACTTCATGAAATGAATGATTTCASTAAAAGTATGCGACATAAATATGTAGTATATGAAGTTTCTAACCGATTTTTCATAAGAATTTCGTTGTCACGGGACACGGATGTTACTTATTAACAACATCATATTTATGATTCATACATTTTCTTTATAGAGTAAAAATTGGAGTAACGTGATTTTTTATTAATATTTTCTAAATTCTATAAAACAGATAAATAATATTAACGGTTACAAAATACAAATTCAAAAATAATATTTTACTGGGTAATATTAAAATTCAAAGTTAACTTTATAGATGGTGTCGTGACCTGCTAGCCTAAGTGAATACATGTACAATAATAACCTAGCCTAAGAAAATTTCACTCATGTCGTAATACCTCCACTGGGAGGCCTCTACATTGTATATATTATTTTTATTTTTATCTTAGCTTCTATCATCAATTATTCTTATTGTTCTCCTTTRAAACAGATTGAATAAAACATAATAAAAAAAATAAAATAAAAACTTTAAAGATAATATTAACAAACTTAAAAGTTGATTTTATATTAGCGTATCGTTAAACGGATTAGTTAGTAA